TTTGTGATGTTAGTCTGGCTGTAAAAGGTCGAATCTACAACGCGTCGGTGAGGTTAGTTTTGCTCTATGCTTGTGAAACCTGGCCTCTCCGAGTTGAGGATGTTGGACAACTCTGTGTTTGATCATCGTTGTCTCCGAAAGATTGCTGACATCCAGTGGCAACACCATATTAGTAATGCAGAGGTTCGGCATCGAATCTTCAGGCGCAGAGACGATAATTCAATTGGTGTCACCATCTTGAAACATCGACTTCGGTGGCTTGGACATGTTCTACGAATGTCGTCCCAGAGGATTCCTCGCCATGCATTATTTGCCGATGCTGGGACTAATTGGAAAAAGCGGAAGTGGTCAGTGTGTGACATGGTGTCGTGGCATGAAAGAAAAAGCTGGCTTCTGTTGGTCCTTCCCGACTCCCTGGTTGAGGTCCGAAAGATGATGCAACACAGTGGCTAGAGACGTTATCAGATATGGCTCAGAATAGAAGCCAGCGGCGACCCTGCTGTAACCTTCTTTTACTTTTTTTCACAAAAAGTGGTTGTAACTTCCTTTACTGAAAGAATTTTTTGGTTGTACCTTTCCGATTCCCCCATTATTATTCTTATTATTACACTAACATACACTAATCTGTGGCTGTTATTGTTCTTTTTTTCTTATACGCACCTTACCTTCTCTTTCTTTTCCCATTCTCACTGTTTTGTGTGGCGCATATGTATCTCGTGCCCCTTGGACCAATATTTATGTGTTCATATAAATAAATAAAATAAATAAACAACCTTACTCTTTCGACTCTTTAAAATACAGTCAGTTTTATGTACATTATGGTATGGCTAAAAACGCTGAATAATGGTCATAAGTCCGCTACCAATGCACAAGAGAAAATGTTTGGTACTCTTAGGTCTGCAATATACACCTAGATGGGTCTATATCGTGGTCAATGGCCTAGCAACCAAGTTTAGATTCTAGTTAGTACTATGACATATAGTGGGCACACATGTTAGAGAACAGTTAAGTAATAATTTACATGATCCAGTCATATGGAAAATATCTTCGGCAATACATTACAGTTAGATAAAAAAATATAACTGGTCTACATAAAAAGTAATGTCTTTTTGACACTTAAAAGAAGAGTTAAATTAAAGGGGGGGGTGTCTGCCTAACACCATTAGTCCTACTTTATTACGTCCATTAGATACGTCTAATTTGACTGTAATACAAAATTCTTCATGATTATATTTACTTTTTAACTATTTCATGAATGTCTATTTTGTTATCCGTTAATGGGTAGTAATGTAATCTAGAATGTATATTTGATTATATTTGGTCTTTTAAATAACCTTACCTGCATGCTGCATTTGGCATTAGGTTTAGTATTTTAAGAAATTTACTGCCAAGAATCGATCAATCCCATAAACCCTGTCACGTCCCGACCGTTGCTGCTACCTTGACGTGGTGGTCGGGCTTGCCTATCGTGATGAAGCAATCGAGCTATGCTGGCTGGAACAATCGTTCCTCAAGGTCCTACCATGCCAGACAGGTCGGTTGAAGAGCGGTGAGACTAAAAGCAGCAAACCCAAGGTCCGAAGGCGAAGTCGTACTGCTGACTGTACAGAAATGTGACAGCAGTGAGGTGTTTCCTTCAGACAACCAGCATGACAGCGATGCTGTCTTCCCACAAGGAGGGGTGGGTTAGAAAAGGTCGACCCTAAAAATGCACACCTCGCCTTATCCCACGGATATCCGTCTCCGGCGGTAAGGTTTTTTTGAAGAACGGAGCTAACACAAAAATCTCCCACAAAAAGGTCGTGTGTGACCGACATCAAGCAGTTGTCCCTTGGGCACTGCGGTCACGCTCTCAGGTCATTAAGACCACTTCTAACCCAATTTCCTTTTCAGGTACCCCTAGAAGAACCCTTCCACGGTGTGGGCAACCGGGAAGTGATAACTGCCCTCATACCTCTAACAGCACTCAAGATCACTGTATTCATAATCAATCTCCTTCTTCAATTCCTACTATTCCTTCTACCTTGACTTTCAACACTAAACTTCCTCTTCCGGTTTCCACCTCAAGTGTCACCATGGCCAACGATTCTAGTGCGCGAAACGCTGTCCCAGGTCCACTAAAACCTCGCTCCAAACTACACATTGGAGCCTTCAACGTACGTACTTTAAGTCAAATCGGTCAACAGGCCTCCTTAGCTAAAACCCTAGAATCTCGTACCATTGACGTATGCTGTGTCTCCGAAACACGCATACAGGATCCTAGTGTGGTCATTCACTTGACCTCACCTCTCCAAAATGGACAGCCAACGAAATACACCCTCCGTGTATCTGGAGACCCGTTGGCCAGTTCTCGTGGACTTGCAGGTGTGGGCATAGCTTTAATACGAGCGCGCATTTGTCTGCGCCTCAATGGACGCAGGAAAAGTACACTAAGAAGACCCATTAGGATTGAACTGGAGGACGAGAAAGCCAAATGAGAATTCCAGAAACAACTGAGTTCACATCTAGGCAGTTCTGTAAACGAGACTGACCCAGATGCTGCTTGGAAAGACACACGAACAGCTGTGGAAATAGCAGTAACATCTATTAGTTATTTAAACCATAGGGTTCCAAAAAACCAGTGGATTTTTTCTAAGTCTATTTCACTGATGGATTCGCGTAAACTCATCCCATCAGGCTCTGAACATGACGAAGAGCGTAAAGAAATTAGATCTAGGTTAACTAAAAGTCTAAGGAACGATCATGAGCAGTGGTGGGCAACGAAAGCAAAAGAGATGGAAAAGGCAGCGGCTGTAGGGAACACCAGGCAACTATTCAGACTAATAAAAGAAACCGGAATTAAGAAGTCAAGTGTAAGTGAGACAATCTCCGAAAAAGACGGAACCCTTATCTGCTCTCAACCCAAACGTTTAGAACGATGGGTGGAACACTTTAAGGAGCAGTTTAGCTGGCCTTCAGCTACTGCACAACTACCCACTATTCCCAGAAAACCTGAATGGAACATTGAAGTAGGCCCCCCGACCCTACTTGAAGTTCAAAAGGCTATAGGTAATCTGAAACGAGGAAGAGCAGCTGGTCCAGATGGATTGGCTCCAGAGGTCTTTAAATATGGTGGTCCGATTTTAGCGATTAGGTTGACTAATATTCTGGCTAAAATCTGGGAGACGGATGTAATCCCATCCGACTGGTCACAATCACTGATTGTCCCAATATATAAAAAGGGGTCAAAATCATCCTGCGATAACCATAGAGGGATTAGTCTGACCAACATAGCATCTAAAATACTAGCCTCAATAATTATCGGGCGCCTAACTAAGACTCGTGAACTGCAAACACGAGAAAATCAGGCTGGCTTCAGACCTGGTCGTGGCTGTATCGACCACATATTCACCATTCGTCAAGTTTTAGAGCACAGACACGCTTATCGGCGTCCGACAATGGTAGTTTTTCTTGACTTGAAAGCAGCATTTGACTCTGTAGACTGAGAGGTTCTGTGGCAGTGTCTGTCATTGAAAGGTGTACCTGAGAAGTACATAAACCTTGTGAAGGCTCTTTACTCGAACACTACCAGTCGAGTGAGAGCTTATGGCGAACTGTCATATGATTTTACAACCTCAAGTGGTGTCCGTCAAGGCTGTCCACTATCCCCATTTTTGTTTAACTTCATTATAGACCTGTTGCTGGAAATAACACTCTCGTCGACTGAATTTTCAGGAATTGATCTTCTACCAGGAGGTTCACTTATCGACTTAGAATACGCAGATGACATAGTCCTGTTTGGTGAAGACACTGACAAAATGCAGAGTCTTCTGTTGGAACTCAGTAATAATGCCAGGATGTTTGGGATGCGTTTCTCCCCATCCAAATGTAAATTTTTACTCCAGGACTGGCCTGCGTCATCATTTAAATTTTCATCTAGATGAATGAAACTCCCAAAGTGGATGAGAGTGTAAAATAAAAATTGGAGAAAATCATGGTAAATAACACCTAACAAAACAGATTTACAAACGAAATAAAAATCATTTGTATTACAGAATAGTCTGAGACTCAAGTAATTTATGTGATAAATTTTTATATTAGATATAGTTCTACAAGAATTATAAATCATAATATTTATATTGTTAGTTTCTTACTGAACCATTTAAACTAACTATACTGCGCTACTTATTTTTATTAAAGTAGTTGACGTGAGTGTCACTAAAAAGGTGGGGGAATTTACTGATGGCTCACTGTTTATAAAAGTAGAAATATTGCTCGCATCTACTGGGATCACCGAGTAAGTAATAGTGAGGTTCGACGCAGGGTATTAGGGAATGATGGTAAATCAGTTGATGAGGTCATGAATCTTCATCGACTGAGATGGTTAGGCCATGTGTTACGTATGCCTGAACACCGATTACCACGACGCGCAATGCTGACTAGTGTAGGGGATGGTTGGAAGAAAGTTAGGGGTGGCCAAACCAAAACATGGCATCAGTGCTTGAAGTCACTAACTTCTAGTCTGAGCCATGTTGGTAGATGCAGACTACCTGGTTGGGGTTCGCATGACTATCGTAACCAATGGTTGGAGACTCTAGGTGACATGGCTCAGAATCGATCACAATGGAGTAGGTGTATACACTCTTTATCTTTCCTTAAACCTTAAGATTAGAATTGCTTCATATCTCTCTTCCTTCATGTACTATATCCTTATATACAACCTATAATTTATATACTACTACCACCACTAAATTAATTACTTCTATGAATCCGGTGTTCATCTTGTTGTGCTAACGAGGTATGGCAACTTGGACCGATGCATATATGTGCCTGATCCTACGTTGTCGCTGACTGACTGACTGATAATGAGAAATACTAAGCCTTTATAACTCAAAAATAAAAAGACAATTTGTTTATATAGCTAAACATGAATACCACTATCCATCTGTGTAGTAGTCATTATAATTATTTTATATGATATTTGTGAATAACAGAAGAGTATTAAAAATATTTAAACTCACCTAAATCCAGAAGAGATTTATTTATATCTTCAGTAGTAAATTCTTGTTTAGGAAAACTAGTCATCAACCGAATAGATTGTGGGTCAATAAAAGTTGAAGAATTAGGCCAATTTTGACTAACATATAATGCAACTGCACTTAAGGGTTCATTGACACCGAATTCCCCTCTAATTGATTGACCAGATGGAAAACGAATGTGTAGACGGCAAATTGTTGGATCTGTTTTCGGCACCGTAGTCGGTAAAGAGGTTGAATTTGATGGAGTTGTCGCTAGTAATTCACCAGCTTTACGTGCACGCTGCATAAAAGTTACAACACAACATTTTAGGTCAGTATACGTCATTTACCTGATTGTTAATTAGAATAAAAAGTGAGGTTTAGGCTGATTACAAAAACATTTCGTCACTAATATCGGGATATTTTTAAAAATAGAGAAGTTTACTTTAAATATATTACAATTAGGACACAACATAGTTATTGTTTACTAAATTTTATTCCACAACCCATGAACGACATAGGAACATTGAGTTATGATATATTCGGTAGCCTAATTAGTAACCGAATCTTTATATCAGTAGATAATTTATTGATGTAACAATAAATGAAAACCAATCCAAAAAGATGTAAAAAACTGCACAAATTCAAAATGGCTTTTAACGTTAATACTAATGAACGTCACGAGAACCCTAAATATTCTTCAGTGGAGCTTTTAATAAGGGTTTGCATTTTTCCGTTTCTGACATTCAATATCGTATTTGACCAGTTTCTGTTAAAATATGTATCTTGAGTGAATATCTTGATATTGGTTTTCACTTACATTTTTTTCGACCGATTGCAGTCTTTAATATCAACAATCGGAAAATAAAAACCCATCCCCATTGAACTATGTATTAGTTACCTGGACTTCTTAGCTTAACAGATAACCCATTCGTGTTTGGAGCGATGTGTACTGGATTAGAATCTTGGCGTGAATACTGAGATTGAAATACACCCAGCTAACGTGTCCTAATTAAGACTTAACATGTGTCCTGGATTCTATTCGAAATCATAATCCAAAGCGACGCAGTTTTTCAAACCTTCAATTTTATTACTGAAAAAGTCTTCAATAAAGTTCACCTTAAATAATCTTCATTTGACCCTTGTAGCAGAGGTAATAAGTCTAGTTTGATAAAGTTTCGGAACTAATGATTTGTAGTTGCTTTGAAGAAATCTATATAATGCATGCAGATGTAGACTATTTATGAAAATCACATATCCGCTCCATCTATACCTAGACTGCTAGGTAATAGGCAGTGAATCGTATAGACACGTAGTAGCCTTAAGTATTTCAATGCACGTACATAAAGTAATTGAGGAATGTTTTATCTCTTAAAAAATTTCTCAGAATGTGTTAAATGAACGATTCCTCTCAAAACGTTTTTTGTCATTTTAAAGCTTACAGTGAGCACTGAAATGATATTTCATAAAGAATGCATTCTAATTAATAAATCTTTATAAACAACTTTATAAGGACCCACGTAACCCTACAGTAAATATTATCAGCAGTTGAGGTGAGTAAAAACGTCCGGTGTTTGTTTGTTTTCATTTAAATCCTCGTTATGTTATTCAGTTGAACTGTATCGCACGTGTCCTGAGAAAAACAGTAGTGATAAAGTACTACAAAACTAGACTTTTAAAAATTCCCAGGAATCGAAATATAGTTGAGCACTATGTTTCAATTTACACCAAAGATAAGCATTTAGAAAGTACCCAGTCAATGAACGAAGAAAAACTCGAGAATGAACGAATACTTTTTCTCAGTCTTCAGCTCCTTAGAAGTGAACATTCAGTATTTTAAAAGTAATGCGCTTACTGAGATACGTCACCTTTTAGTATTCCAGTCTCGAATGAGCTTTGAGAGTTTCCATTGCTAGTAAGTGATAAATTTATCGATTCACACAGAAACATTTCGATTTTTCACGAAGATTAGATTTGATTTGGACAAAACAAATAAATTGACTAACCTTTTCTTCTTGTTCTTGAGCGATTTCAGCCTTCAATTTCGCCCTGTACAAATAAAAAGAGATGTTAAATTTTATTCACGATCATAAAAAGTTGAATAATGCAATTTCTATTAAACTTGAATGAACAATTCACTTGTATCTCATTACATCAGCTTAAGTAATTATAGAATGAAATCACCAACATATTTCATTCGATCATAAACACTGAAGTTTCCTAGTAAATTAAGTTTGTTATTGAGGTTTGCGATAAATACCTTTCTTAGTTCATGTTGCCTACAGAATTTTTCATCAGGTGCCCTGGAACAACCGAATCTGGGAAGATTCTGCCCACTTTCTCTGTCTCTTGACAACCTCAGACGGCCGTATACTTATGACTGCGGTTGAGAAATTCCGGCTCATTGTCTTTAGTCGGAGGGAGTATTGTTGACGCAAATTGGACATGGAGGATTCCCATATGGAGTTGGAAAACACTGATTCCAAAGCAGCAACAAACATGGAGTCAGGGATATTGAGGGAAAGAATGGTGTATAAACCTATTTGATCAGTAGTCACCATGAAATGGAATCTCCTAACATTGCTCCACTGTCCTGTGAGTAGACTGGTCTTCGATCAGGTCGATGATGTACGCATCATATCTTCACACTCCACAAGACCTTAAAGCACAGTTACACTTATTATAGACCAACAATTGTTACGCTTTTTATATTGGGAATGCTTTTGACTCGTCGGACAGGACTGTGCTCTGAGATTGTTTGCTGGAAGTTCTGTACAAACACCTCAGGCAGATGAAAACATAAGACCACCTCTATCCATTGTTACAATTCACTAGTGGGGTTGATTAGTTTTCCCAGTTACCATTCCACCTCACTTTCCGCATTGAACATTCAGGAAACAACTCCGATGGGAGTAGGTAATGATAGTGTAAATTTACCTCGAGAAAAACTTCTTAGCCTTGAGTAAGCGGATGATATTGCCCTACCGTGTGGTGATACGCAAGCTATATAGATAGTACTAAATCATCTGACTATAAGTGTCTGTAAGTATAGAAAGTTCCTTGCACATTATGCAAAAACTGGCAGGAGCTTGTGCCAATACTAACTCCCTGTAATTTGTTAGTAGTCAAAAAGTTCATATATATGGATAGTTGTGAGTGTTAGTAGTGGCATGACTGATGAGGTCAGTCTACGTACAATAAAAGTTACAGAGGCTTATATCAATCTGAGCCATTTTTGGAGGCATAACGGTGTTAGTCCGGTTGTAGAACGTTGGGTGTACAGCGTGTTGGTGGGGTCAGTCCTGCGAAATCTGGATTGAACACATGTTATGTTATCTCAGTGGTCCCCACATCGTGCGCTGGTTGCCAACGATGGGACGGGATGGGAAAAGTGGTGGTCGGTTTCAGGTATGAAATAAAGTTGTCCAGGAGTGGCACTTTTCTGTCTATTATGAACCCCTGGTTAGGATCCTCGAGATGGAGTAACTCAGAGACTTAAGGTGTTACCACAAGATCACGAGCCTACTATATGTAGTAAGCACGCTAGAAACCAATAGCAATATATTGAAACCTTTCAGAATTAACACAGTTCAAAAATCAACACGATCATTTCATTCCACTTTACGTATACTGAAAGACATAATATTAAAAGAAGACAAATCCTACTTCATCTAACAAACGAACTGCACTAATTGTAAGAACTATATCAAATAAACTGGGTTTCTTTTCTCATTCGTGTACACACGTACACGGATTAACGGTTAAACGAAGTGATATTTCATCACATATTTAGACATACAGATGATATGAATCGGATCAAGAAGAGTCGAAATTACAAACAAAAGAAATTCTATGAATCTCGAAGAATGGCGTTCATGCCAATTCATAATTAACAGAAATATTCAGATGGATCCAATTTATCAGTTTATGCGTAAAAAGTCAGTCGATAACATTACAAAGAGGTCTACTGAAAACAGACAACGAAGACACATAAAAACGAAGATAACGAGACCTGTGAAAATAACCAATTACAAACAAGGTCATCAAGAAGGCATGGTTTTGCCCATGCAGAATGACCGAAAAACGATCATTTCTACATCAAATAAGGGTTGATGATGTCTAAAACAGCAACCAAAGCTGTGTAATTAAACCATTCGGCTTAGAGAATACAACGCTACCAAAAAAAGATTTACTTGCGCTGAGAATGCTCATTACTTAAAAATTACTTAACCTTCCACAAATCTGTTATGTGATCTCTCTACCATTCAAACTAATTGAATGCATACAAAACTACCATTTTTCACATTTTCCAATGTATGATGTATGTTTATTTTTAGATTTAATATAATTTAGTTTTGATGGAACTGAGAAAAATAATTAACTAAATCAACCTTTATCTTTTAAATCATAATTTGATGCGACTTAGTGTGCAAGTAGGCGCTAATATACTCGGTTATGGGGAACACGTTTTGTGTGCTTGCGATAATACCTGCCAGCATGACTTGAAGTAACCAAAGCAGGGTTTTGACTCAAAAACCATCAGTTGGAAGTCCAATACTTTAATCAGGAAGCTATCCCAAAAACCTCAATGATGAAATCAACACAATCCATAAAAGAGAATAATCAACATATGCACTACTCATTATAAACAAGCACCAGGTAATGTGAAGTCTCGTGCACAGATATAAAAGTATTCCCAATGTATAATATACAGGGCGAAATCAGAAGTGCAAAATAAAGGCAAATAATTAACTCAAATCAGATTCTACCTACAAGTAAGCTCGGTCCTCCTCTTTTTCACGCTTTTTTTGTTCGACTAAACGACGTATTTCATCTTCTTCAAATTTCGCTTTAGCTGAACTTAGTGTCTTGCATTGTTGACGTCTTTTCTTTTCACGCTCAATCTCTTCCTGTTTCTCTTGCTCTTCTCTTTCACTTTTCTTGGCCCGTAGGAGTTCCTATCAATACATACATACTTAAAATGCAACAAGTATGAACATCATACTACTTATTCATGACGGAGTTTTTTTATATATATACTATAAAATGACAGCAAATTAACATGACAGTTCAATTACACTTATTCGACTAGTTGTATGACATGAGTAGAACCTGTTGACTAAAGACTCGTTGTTTTAACCAGAAATTGATTTTCTTGTTATTAATGTTATGAGTTTATATAGCTTAGCGGAGCGAGCTATCCACTATTTTCCAGGGATTGGTAGGGAATCGAGTGACATTTGTTTGTGGTAAAAACGTCAATGTTGACCTGACGAAAGTAGCAAACTGATATTGGGGGGTATTCCTGATGAAGGCATTTCTATCATTCGGATATACAAGTACACTTTTTACTATGATGTTTGCCATTTACGATCGGGTTACGTAAAATTCATAAACCTAGGTGAAGGAAGAATGAGCTACAAAGGTAAAAATGAATATACTTCATGTTTGATTGATAATTATCCCAATAAACATAACCAATTAGAAATAAAGTACTGGGTTATAAGAAAATGGTTAGAAAGGAGAAAAAATCGGATACTCATTAAATATTGCAAGATATAATTACTTCTAACGACACAGTTGAACCTACTTCAATAACTGTAGTAACCGATAACAGGACAGATAAATAGATGTTTTAATCAATCTTATCAGCTGAACACTAGTTATTACCTATAAACAAACGAGCTATACAGAAACGGAAACAACGTGGGACAAAAGAAAAATGGATTAATGGTTACAATTAATGTCAGTACAATAAGGGGAAATTGGGAACAAAGGTTATGAAGATAATTGTTTCAGTAAGACCAGAGAACTGTTAAATAAGAGAAACAAGTTAAAATAAACAACAAAGTAATACAGAATAAAAGAGCATTAGTCATTTAGAACAAAGCCATTCCGAAAAAATGAGTGAACTAGGATAAGTTGATTTTTCTCGACCTTTTAATGCTATACTATGAATAGCCGCGATTTTCTCTCGGAATCAGATCCAGATGCAGAACTTCCCACATCAATGAAAACATATATAGCATCGTTAACTGTATTTTCAGATACGGACTAGAGTGGACAATCATAATCAAAAATCGGTCGAATGTAATAAGAGACTGAAGTTATTAAATGAACTATCCATAGTAACTATGAAAAAGGCTAAATCCTGTACCATTAACATATTCACACTAAAGTGAATGATAAACTATTTTTGGAAAAAGCCATTTACGGCATATAAACTAGAAATAAAGAAGTCTACACTAAAACAGAAACCTGGAGTTTTTCCATTTGTTCCCTACGTTCATCTTCTGTCAGTGATGAGACTGCATCTGAGCACTGTGAATAATTAACGTGTCCTGTACGAGCACTATGCACCTGAACTTCATCTTCATTTCTGAGACACTTATCGCAACTAAAATAAAATTAGAAAGTAATATGAAAGCTACTCATCACATTTGTAAGATAATGGTAAGTCTGTCGTCTCAGCTTCCCTGGTCCCGTTAATCCCTTCATATTGAAAGCACTTATACAGCCTATTAAATAAATAGTACCTTTTTCCTCATCACCACTATCATTATCTACAATCCTGAAAAACAATGACTTAGATGAATCGAGAATACCCACCACTCCATGGCCTCCTCTAAACCTTTATTGCCAGAAAACTTTAAAGCTTTTTCCCTGAATAAAATTGGTATGGTTAAGAAATCAGACAAACGCTTTAGCTTGTGTGAAGCCCATCTCCATCAGCTGTTCCAATACCGACGACATTGAGGAGAATGTAACTGACGTTCAATAAAAAAATTCTAACAAGTGAGAATGTCATGTATAAGATATTGAAGCGATATTAGAACCTTATAATATATTTCTAAGAGCCGAAACGTCTTAGCAACTTGGATTTACTCTACGAGATGCTGTGAAACAGGTGATCAAACTCACCTCAACGACCTTGGGTCCAATACCCAACAAAACGGTTTCAAATGGTTCAAATGGTTCAAATGGTTGAGGACGGAATAGAAGAAGCTTTCGCTTAACGGGTCTGGTAGCAGTGGATCACCAATACCTTCAGGCAAGAACCTAGGTATATGAACGATAATAGAGGGAAAAATATGAATTTGGTAAATCATAATAAGATGTTATCCTTAGTCCTTAAGAATAAGTCAAGTTTTCTCTTAAAGGACTCCTGGGAGGTCGCTTGGACTAGCTCAATCGGCAGCGAATTCCAACACTTGACAACTCTAACGGAGTAGAAGTTGTGTCTGCAGTCTGTTCTGCTATGTGGGGTCTTCAATTTCTGGGTGTTACCTCTCAGGTTAGTGTTACGACTAAGCTTAAGAAGTTGTTTAAGGGGATGACCAGAAGTATTAAGGATACTATAAGTCATAAGAAGATCACCTCTAAGACGCCTATACTCTAACGGGTAAAGGTTAAGTGATTTGAGGCGCTCTTCATAAGGTTTGAATTTGAGACCCCGAACTGATTTCGTGGCTCGACGTTGTATACGTTCCAGAGTGACCTTATCCTTTTGGAGGGAGGGAGGAAATACTATGTTTCCGTACTCTAAGTGGGGACGAATAAAACTGTTGAAGATTATGTGGAAGGTTCTACCGTCAAACTGGCCAAAAATGCGCTTCAATGTTACCAGTGCAAGGTTTGCTTGAGAGGCGTTTTTGTCACAGTTCGCATACGATTTCAGGTCGTAGTGTACCAACACTCCTAAATCTTTTTCAACTTGGGAAACTTCTAGAGGGGAGTTACCTAAGTTATAACTATAGTCTGTAACATGTCTCAGATGGACTACCTTGCACTTTGAAGTGTTGAAGGTAAGTCCGTTGTCGTCTGCCCAACTTTGAAGTCGAGTCAGATCCTCCTGAAGAACTAGTATATCATTATGATTACGTATCTCTCTTCAAAGTTTCACATCATCAGCAAAAAGCAATAAGTCAGATGAAACTTGTTGAGGAAGATCGTTAATGTAAATCAAGAAGAAAAGAGGTCCTAGTATTGAACCCTGGGGGACCCCACTAGGACATTCCATAGCCTGAGAGAGAGTGAAGTTAACCCTGACCTTAAAGTGTCGGTTTTCTAAATATGAAGAGGGCCAATCAATTAAAGGGGGTTTTATACCCAATCGTCCAAGCTTCTTGATAAGACATGCATGGTTTCAAATGGTTCAAATGGGTGTGGACAGAATAAAAGAAGCTTTCGCTTAACGGGCTTCTGTATCTAAAAGCAGTGGATCGCCAATACCTGCAAGCAGGAACCTAGGTATACTAACGATAATAGAGGGAAGAAAAGAAATTGGTAAATCAAAAGTCTATATCCATTACACTATTATGATCATTGTTGAACCTTTTCACTATGTGTTCATTTCTTTTCTCTCTCTCGCTCTCTTTTTTCCTTCTAAATAAATATTATTCTTAAGATTAAGAAGCTTTGGATTGAGACAATAACTTGTGTTACATTGAATTCAACTTATCACACTCGTTTTATCTTCACTATGTATATACACCTCATAAATATTGATTATCTTTTGCACTTAATTGAGACTTTCATAGCATCACCCAAAACTATGACTGTGCTTGCACAAACACTTATTCTAACGTCATATCTTACCGCAATAATAAGTTATTTACTTATTAATTTATTCTGTTTTATTTCATTTTTATTACTCGTTTTTGCTATACATACATAGTTGTTTATTCTTGTTCTGCGTTAAGATATTTGCGTCTCCCGCGTCTCCTTTATTTCTATTTCTTTAGTTTCTTCCTTTCCTCCTTCAAAATCAATTCAAAATTCTTGCTAATTACACAGAACCTCATTTATTATTACTATTCTATTATTAATATTTTATTTTCCTTTTCCTTCCTTTCTCAAACGTGGCATATGTATTGTTAACATTACTGAAAATTGTGTATTATTGCATTTTTGAAGAAACCCGAAATGGTTTCTTCACAGCACTTATGTACCCATAAAGTGTTTGTGAATAATAATAATAATAATAATAATAATAATAATAATAAGATGTTATCCTTGGTCCTTAATAATAGGTCAATTTTCCTCTTAAAGGATTCCTGGGAAGTCACTCGGACTAGCTCAGTTGGTAGAGAACTCCAGCACTTGAAAACTCTTAAGGAGTAGAGGTCGTGTCTATAGTCCGTTCTGCTATGTTGGATCTCCAGTTTCTGGGTGTTACCCCTTAGGTTTGTATTAAGATGAGGCTTCAGCAGATGTTTAAGGGGATGTCCAGAAGTGTGAAGTATACTGTAGGCCATTGGAAGGTTACCTCTGAGATGGCTATACTTTAATGAGTAAAGGTTAAGCGATTGAAGGCTCACCGTTGGATACACTCCAGAGTGTCCTTATCCTTTTGGATTGTGGGAGGAAATACTGTTTGCGTACTCTAAATGTAGACGAATGAAACTGTTTGAGATTATGTGGAAAGTTCTTCCGCGGAACCAGCCGAAAGTGCGCTTCAATGTTACCAGTGCAAGGTTTGCTCGAAAGGCATTTTCGTCACAGTTAACGTAAGGCTTCAAATCCTAGGGTACCAGCACTCCTAAATCTTCTTCGACTAGAGATGCTTTTAGAAAGGAGTTTCTTAAGCTGTAACTGTAGTCTGCAATATGTCACAGATGGACTACTTTACACTTTGAAATGTTAAAGGTAAGTCCGTTGTCATCTGCCCAACTTTAAAGTCAAGTCAGATCCTCCTGAAGTGTCAGTATATCCTCTTGGTTGCGCATTTCTCTCTCCAAAGTTTCACATCATCAGCAAAACTTAATGTCAGACGATACCTGTTTGGGAAGATCGTTTATATAAATCAAGTAAAGAAGGGGTTCTAGTATTGAACCAAGACATTCCTTAGCCTGAGAGAAAGTAAAGTCAACTATGACCTTTAAATGTTAATTTTTTTATATATCAAGTGAGCCAGTCAATTAGAGGTGATTTGATACCCGGTCGTTTAAGCTAATTGATAGGACATTTATGGTTGACCCGGTTAAAAGCTTTTAAGAAGTCAAGGTAAATGACATCAACCTTCCTCTTGACATCAGGGACGGTTGTTCATCTGTCTACCTCAGTCAGTAGGTTGGTTATACAAGAATGACCCTTCCTGAAACCGTACTGTTCAGACAAAAAGAGGTTTAAGGATAATAAATGGTCGTTATGCCATCGCATATCATGGACTCCATAATTTTTGAAGGTATAGAGAGAAGCGCTTCCAGTCGATAGCTTGAACGTTCGCTACTTCGATCTCCTTTGAAAATTGGTGTGGTTTGAGTCAGCTTCCGATTTCCTGGTAATGTTTATTGGCTTAGCGAGTGCGAAAACATCACGCTAAACGATGTATTCAAGACTGAATCCGCTCACCTCAGTATAGGAGGATGGACCATATCCACTCCAGCAGAAATGTCCTTCTTTATGTTATGGAGTTTCCGACACCCCAAGTCAGTGCTCAAGTCCACTTCCTGTTCGGTCCTGATCTGTCATCATGTAGTTTGTATGGGATGGTTGGAATGTCCGAAAGCACTGTTCTGCCAGAAGGTTGGCGCCATGTGTTCTCTTCTTGCATTTGCACATAGGTTCCTTGCTTGGTTGAGTTGCCTGTCTTCGCTGTTGCTTCCAGTTGGTTTTTATTCCGCCCATTTGTGACTTCTTTCAGCTCGCGTTTTGATTCTAATGTGCGGTTCCAGACCATTGATATCAATTAATGTGAGTAGTCTAGCTACTCTTCTTCATTACTATAGGTGATTCATCAGCTAATTCAGGATCAGTGTCTTGAGTTTGAGTTATTGCGTTTGTTCCAGAACAGTGGATTTAAAAGAAATAATCGCGTCCACGTTAATTGTCGGTCAATGCGTGGTTTGATTACGAATTATTTTCAAGTCACAAGATAGTGTATTCAAAAGTTTTCAGTGTCTTGAAATCTGAGTGACTTTGTCTGAAAATAACAAGGTTTCCGAAACCACCCAAGACATCGTTTGGTTTTCGCGTGAAAATTAACGAAATAAAAAGTTAGTATCCAGAAAGAGTGAAAAAAGAGTATGATCAGGAGAAGTAAATTAATTAATTACCCAAACTACTCATTGAAAGAAGTATAAGAATCACTGATAAGCGGAAATGACTGCGTAAATAGCGACTGATAATTATGATGGTAGATAAGTTGCTAGACACCCATCACGTATAAATAGTCCAGGTGAGTATGTAACTGTCAAGTTTCATCATAAATCTATTCACTGAGAGGACTACAGTCACTTCGGCCTGAAAAGCACACCAGACGGGTAAGATGCTTAATCAGAAAAAGAGTGACTGTGGTTAGAATCCCATTCTTCGATGTTCGTTTTCTCATCAGTGACCTCGCAGTGCATCGTAGCGATTTTCGAGTAGCATCTTCACTTTGGAACGACTTGACATTCTTAGGACATCGTCATTATCAGATAACCTCATATTCTCCAGTATAATGGCGAGAAAAATCCCACGCGTCTTAGTCTATTCCTGAAAGGTCGTTTCCGCAACCCTGTCACTCACTTTAAGACGCAACAAAGTCGTACAATCCTTAGTAGAGGATTGAGTAGGTTTGAAAGAATTTCAGAAACAACTCTGGAATGATATCACCAAGTCTTCCTCGTGTAAAGTGAGAGTTTTCATTTGTGTTATGACTTGACCTAGTCGTCTCCAATTTGTTATGTTTTTGACCTCGACTGTAGCCAATTGTTATGACTTGATTAAGGTCGTCGCTGATTCGTTATGACCTTGCGAATTTTACAAGGACGTAATTCGTGTAAATTATCCACCAATAGAATACGCCTTCTACGACCTTCACACTGTGACAATGACGTTCGATTAGTATGAGTAATCTAGCGTCCTTATTGGTCCTTATCCGCCTAACCCGTCCACTTGAGTCCAAAACACCAATAGCAGCCTCAGCAATACGAATCGTTTATTTCAAGCATACTTTGTTTATATATCAGACAGACAGGCCACATCATACCATAAAATAGAAAATAATATTTGTACAAAATCAAGCCAAATGAGGCTGTAAGCGTGGGAGACAATAATCAATAAACTGAGTATAACTTAGGAACAGTAAATCATACAATAATAATCAATAAGTCAAAATGAAGCTTACAATAAAATGAATATAGATATAGATAATCTAGTTACCGAATAGTTATACAGTAAGAATGATAGTCCAATAGTAGGTCCTGCAAGTCTTCGCTACTACATAACAATTTGCTTTGGCTGAATCACCAGCATGATTTGAGCTGAGATCCTAGCTCTGTGATTAACAGCGCTATACTGCTCTCCGTGGGGATGAACGAGGGATAATTATCACAGTGAGTAGGTGAACCTTCTTCTTTCCCTATTGACGTCCGTTTATAGGCGTTGATAATGCATATGACGGTAGATTAATTTTATTGCTAATAGGAATCAGGAGAAACGTTTCCATAATGGTTTACTGTGAAAACCCAAATGTCGAGACCCTCCATTATGGATGTATTCTGTACACTTCTGTAGAGAGCACTCACTTTCCCAGATAACTTCTGGACGGGGTAGAAGGGATCGGTGCAACCGATGTTCCCGACTTACGTTATTCGGAATGCGTGTGATACAAGTTTTATCTAGCGGCTTTGCGTCCATTTCTGAATGCCACGTAAGAATTATGGCTAGAAACCTACAAAGAGACCCCCTATATACACCAGGCTTTTCTTTGGGCCTGCATCAGGATTTCTGTCCCTTCCATAGGCCATATTATTCTCCTTCCAGTCAGACCGTTAGCTTGACAAGTGTCTTGAAGATGTGTGCAGTCAAACCTCAGATGGAGCAGCATCTACATCATCCGGATCATCTTTCTCTTTTCAGTGTTATTATGTGTAAGAGGACGGTATATTCCCTTAATCATTAGGTTGAGGTTGTTTATACTGAAGTAATTCCATCACTTTATTTGAATTACCACTGAGGCTCGGAAGTGAATGCTGATGTGCATCTTCATTTTACCTCTTGTCACATCGGAAAACGTTCATGCCTTGCAAGCCAAACTGATCTCACGAGATGAAAGAGATAGTAAGGTTTTCGTTAAAGCTATGACGTTTGGCTTCTATTAGAAATTCATGTTTTTGATATTTTTTGTTTTTCCCCATAGTACCCCAAGGTTCCTATGGCGATGCTTGACTGTTTGTTGCATTTCATAGTGTTCCTTGTCATCGAAATCCATGTGAGGGTCGATAATGGATTACCGATTGAGGGGTTTGTAGTATTATGGTCTTATTCGTTATTAATACTGGTCTATTAATAGACCACACCCTAAAATTGTAGATTTGTCATGATGTACCTACCTAGTTTATAAGATCTTACGTGGAAGTCACATCATTGTTTACACCGACTCATCGTATTTTAACGATCACCAATAAACGATGGAGAACACATTTTAGCAGCAGACAGAAAAACATATTTAATATAAAATAAAAGGTATAGGGCACACAAGAATGATCAAGTCTTCAAGGTCGAGTCATAAAATTAGATGCTAAGTTTGAATAATCAGGTTTCCTTGAATTTTGATTACGCGGTAACTTTGTTTGAAAATTGGAATATAAAACAACTTCCTTCGGGATGCCGATTTGATGTTTTTCACAATGTATATCCTAACCACTTCCACTGTGTCGCGATTTGGTCTCTGCACGATCGATCCTTACGGAATACAGCCAGTTGACCTCGAAGCTGGACGTCTACAGTATCTTTCATCCAGTTCGGCAACACTCTGTTGAAAACGTTTTCTGGTACTGACAACTAATTGATGCCTCTGTAATTCTCATATTTGCTCAGATCTCCTTTCTTTGGTATCTTGATGAGGCATCCTTCTATCCTGTCCGTCGGCACTTGTCCTTCCCCCAAATCTTTCTGAATAGAACGTGGAGCATGCTTCAAACTACTCCTATGTCTGACCTCAGTGATTCAGCTGGTATGTTGTCAGGTTCTGCCGCTTTCCCACACTTTATTTGTCTGATGGCCATTCTGATCTTCTCGATCATTGTTGAGATGACATCTATAGGAAGATCTGTGTGTGCTGTTTCAATATCCGGTGGATTCAATGGAGCTGGCCAACTCAAGAGTTCCTGGAAGTATTTTACCATCTGTTCTTCTGTTCTTGAATCTCTGTGATTGTCTTGCCTTCTTCGTCCTTAACCGGTCTCTCCGGTTTACCATATTTCTCTGATAGTCTCTTCGTTGTGTCATACAGCTGTTTCATATTTTTTGTCTTGCACCTTTTTCCGCTGTCGTTGCTAGCTCTTCTACGTATTTCTGCTTGTCGACTCTAATACTCTTCATCACTTGCTTGATTGCTTCTATGTATTCAGCTCGTGCCTTGACTTTCTCTGTTCTTGTTCGGCTGCACTTAATGCTGCCTACTTTTCTTGATTATTACTCAGGGTTCCGACAGAGATCCATTCCTTATAATGATGCTTGTTGTGGCCCAACACCTGACACTTTGAAGTTAGTGCTTCTTTGATCTTCCTGTTGTCATCCATAGAAGTTTCTCCTTTGTCTTTGAGTAGATCTTGTAAGGTTTGGGACGTGCTATTGAGAACTATCTAGGATTCGTTGAGTTTGTCAGTATGTCGAAGGAAGGCTGTATAGGATATTTGTAATGTCGTTTCCTCAGTTGTTCAGTGTTTCTTTAGTTTCAGTTTCATCTTGGTCACAACAAGGTGGTGATTTGAAGCAACATCAGCTCCTCTCCTGATTCTCACGTCTTACATTGTACTACTGAATTTTTTATTGATTCAAATATGATCTATCTGGTTCTCTGCGGTGTGGTCCGGAGAGATCCATGTGGCTTTCTATATGTGTTTGTGTGGGAATACTGTGCTGCCTATATTCAATTTGTTGAATGCACATAGATTTACAAATCTCTCTCCATTTTCATTTCTCTCTCGGAGTTCATGTCGTCCTATGATATCTTCGTATCCGGTGTTGTCCATCCCGACGTTGGAGTTTAGATTAAACTAGCATTAGTAACCTCGAAAAATGTTTCTCTGTCCAGTTTGACGGTAGAAATATTCACCTAATCTTTAACACTTTTTTGCGGTCCTTTCTAAAGTAATCAGATAACGTCATCTCTAGCTTCAAAAGGAACTTATTCATATAGGATCTAAGAAGTCATTTCGAGGACTCAACGTCAAACTATATGAAGAATACCTTAGAACGCTGGACCTTTGACCATTAGAGCATAAACAACTTAGAGGCGACCTTTTGATGATTTATGGCGTTCTTAACATCTCTGGAATCTTCTGAAATAACTACCTAAGCTCTGTCTGAACACAAACCTTTGGGGCAATACATGTTGTGAATGAAAACACAGGTGGGAAAAACCAATTTATCGTTTGATGCAAAACCACAGTGTCTTCATAAAATATGAAAACCATACACTAAATGCTTCATATGCACACCTCTCAATTATCGCCTACAAACATCGTTGTTCCTTCATTCTTGTTGTTATCTTGATTACTTTCAGTTTTCTCTTCTTTACTTTTCAGTCTTCTCAATCTTCTGCTCTCAGACGTCGCTTCAGACTGATGCTTCATAGTAATTATCTGTCAATATAAGTAGCATACGCCACATACCAATGGACTACGGATGAAACACAGTAAACTGGACTGTAGGCACACCCTATAATCATCACGAATGTCTATGTCTTGAAATCCGCTACCAGTAAACTTGGACTGATAGGCTTCTAAGGTTTCTGTTGAAGGGAGGCTTAATATAGTTGTTCATTCTAATGCACCAGTAATTCGCTCTCCCTTGTTTAATATACCTAGGTTCTTACCCGGAGGGATCGGTGTTCTACTATTAGTAGATACGAAAGACTAAGGAGGACGTTTTTTCTGTTCTGTTCACATTTGACTGAAACACACCACTATCAGGTGACCTGACAACCACTGATCATGACGAATACATTCTCAGGGACAAAAATGATATGAAAGAAGGAAAAATTAAATAAATAGAATCAGGCAACTAAAGACTAGGTTTATTGGAGTCGAGTGAGTAGACAAATGTTACTGGATTTTCATGAAAAACCTGGAACTGCCACCTAACCTCAAGACATACACAGTACGTAATCAAGTGAGTTATGATAGATTACTGCGGATGCAGTAGGCATTAAATGAACGCAACATAGAAACCTTTAGCTGCTTGACGTTTTTATTGATTCTGGATATACACTAGTAAAAGAACTAATTAGTAACAATTCATGCGTGCGTACCTTCCATCCTCTACTTAGCATGATTCTAGCATGGAGCTATTATGTGTTGGTATGGTGTAAAAAGTATAAATGTTGAGAAGAAAAAAATAAGGTAAGAAATTATACGACGACTCAGCGAGCACTGAAAATGGTCTTAACTATGGTAATGAAGTAAGTTGGTGATCTCACAGTAAGATTAAGACATAAGTCGGTAGCGTAGAATTTTGAATGCGTTACATATGATGTTTCTGTAACAGTTGACCTTGGCCGGCTCTGTTTGTTTGACTCATCGGTCGGACTCCATCTGCTATAATAGGCGCATTACTTTAAGATGTTTTCAAGAGGTGCCAATGTTTTCCGATTCGGGATTAGTTTTAGAAGCTTTTTGACCTCTTCAAAGGTAGGTTTCTCTACCTGTGAGTAATATGCTTTGTTCTAAAGCATTCTCCAAAGGTTGCCGTATTAGGCGCTAGCGGTGGTATAGGTCAACCTCTGTCACTGCTCTTGAAACAATCACCTTTGATTTCTCAGCTTGCACTGTATGATATTGCTCATGTTAAAGGTGTTGCTGCTGACCTCAGCCATATTGAAACTCAAGCTCATGTGACTGCACACCTCGGACCAGGAGAACTTGCAGAATGTCTTACAGGTGCAAATGTTGTTATTATTCCCGCAGGGATGCCTCGCAAGCCCGGTAAGCTGACTAGTCTTTCCTCTTTGACTAGAGTTTAGGCAAGGTTTAGGGGTTCAAAATGGACAGTAGTTCGGTTTGAAGAAATTGTACCACAACCGATTTTAGTCGGAACACCGTGTTCCTAATTTCGTCACACTGTTCCTCCTTAACAGAAAGGCTACTGACTTATGTAATTGTTGCTTATGGTAGGGTTAAACGGTGAAACTAATTTATAGACGACATTTAAGCAACGCTAGAAAGACCTTGAGAATATCCACGTGCATATTACGGCAAAATCAGGATTATAAACCAGTGTGAGGAATCAGGATTAGTATTTACAGTTGATAGTTAGGGTTAGGAACTAGGTTTATGGTTCTCACCACGAATTGACATCAGATGTAATGCCAAAACTATTTAACCTGATAGATAAATTGATTTTGCGCCAATATTCAAGACCTGTTGTAGTAAGTATTGTTGGTTCTTCCATAAATTATAGTCTCACCGTTGAAACCCATTTTTATTTCCAGCGTATCGCCTTTTAGAGATTACGTTCAACTTTCTATTTAGGATGTTGTGTATAGTGATATTTTGTGACTAGATAAGTGAAGGCTAAACCCTATTTAAAGAAATACATAAGTTTCATTTTCTCAAGAACAAGTCCAGAGTATTCTTTACGTTGTTAACGCAGAAATAATTTCGAGTTTCTAGTGCTACAGACGAATAAGTCGCTCTTAAAAGTGTGGACTTCTGGGAAGTTTCACTTCAAATTTTTAGCCCAGTCAAATACTAATACAGAAATTAGTTATGAAAGGAACGTTGAAGTAGTGACTCAAAAATCAACTTCTAGCCATCTAGCTGCTGGTTCGATTTGCCTTGTACCAAATTTAGTTTAAGCAACAAGATGATACAATTAGTTTCCACATAAGGGTTCTGGTTTGTAACTGGGTGCTCTAATCTGTACTGAATTCCATCCCAGCTTCGGGGCAGTGTTGAGGTGATTCATTTCATCGAAAAGTAACAAGTTAATCACAGTCCGAATCTTATTAACTACAATGTTTTGAGGGAAACTAGGTATTGACCGAATATAACTAAGCTTCCTTACTCAGCAAAAACTGGCGGTGACAGCTATTTATGTATCTGCGAAGCTATAGTCACAAAAGGCAGTTTCGATCAACTAATCTTTTGTAATCTTTTTTCTACTCACCTCTCCTAGCTTGGTAAGTTGACCGTTCCTAATGCGGTTTGCTGTCTGGTATATAGCGGTAATTGGATTTTACTAGTTTATTTCAGGTTAGACTTTTAAATCACACATTACTTTCTAAATATCCGTTCAAATCTAAAAGTCAATGTACCATGGGTAAATAATTAGTCATATAGTATATCAGCCCTAGGGTCTCTGAGGCTTCTCACATAAGAAGAACAGTATACTGGAGAAAACTTTGTATTTATTTTGTTCCCAACTGCATCTAAGTAAGTTGTGGTTTCGGAAGACTCAAATTCAGTGGTTTCACTCTGTATCGATGGCTTCTCATAGGTGTAGTTTGCGTTTAGTTTCTGAGACTTGACTCTTTTAATTGGGCTTAGATTGTTGACTACAAGTTACTAGTTATATTAACGAGTGTCTGGTATTCAAATTTTAGCGCCAATTATTCTTCCATATCGCTCACTTATTTTTCTCTTAAGGGATGACACGCGATGATTTGTTCAATACAAACGCATCCATTGTTGCAGAACTTATTGACTCGTGCGCTAAAAATTGCCCGAAAGCAATGATATGCATAATCACAAATCCTGTCAATAGCACTGTACCAATTGCAGCTGAGATTTTAAAACGCCATAAAGTTTATGATCCCAAGCGTCTGTTTGGAGTTACGACTCTTGATGTTGTTCGGTCGAATACGTTTATTGCTCAGGCAAAAGTATGTTCTTTTTTCAAGCTTTCTAAAGGTTTTCTTTAGGATCTTGCTGTGCGAAAGGTTTCTTGCCCCGTTATTGGCGGACACTCAGGTATTACAATTCTTCCTGTAATATCTCAATGTAGTCCCCATGTATCATTTCCCCAGGTATAGTACATTACTTTTATGTGTAATTTTATTTTAAACGAAAGCTTCATGCAGCGATATCATAGGATACACAACACGAAAAATGTTTCGTCAGTAAATAGTAGAAGAAATAGATGATTCAGTAGCTGGTAAAAAAAGAGACAACAGTCTGAATAACAGAAGAGCCAATAGGATTCTCATTCTTCTCGTTGAGATTTCTACTGACTTATGTTTTAAATTATTCAGGCTGCTAACTACTTGATCTCAGTGTATATTTTAAGTGACTTATGGACGAACAAATTGTAGCTTCTACATACGACTATCCGTCGCTCCGTATCACAGACTGACTAATCCTAAACCTTTGTTCACTTTAAGCGTCAGACGTGAAACTCATTCAGGTTCAACACCTAAGTCATTCCCAAGTCCCCGTAACTCGTTTCCGTGGACAGAATTTGTTGAATAAAAGTCACATGATCAGGATCAGTTGCAAATATGAAAAATCAAACTCAGTCACATCACGTCCCCTTGAAGTGTCTCTTTCACAAGTGTAGAGTAAAAGTACTGTTGCCGAACCGCTGTAGATCAGGTTTCTGTAGTCGAACTATCGCAACGGGACTTGAAATATCCGTAACCTAACTTAGATGTTCACTATCTTTAAATGAAGTTTGATCACGCTTTTTACATCCCACGAGGACTGTACCTGTCAGATTATCATTAAGCTACTTTGTGTTAAAGTATTTATATTCCGTGCACGATGCTCATGATACTTACGTTTCGTGTTGTTATATAAGTGTCTGAAAACAAATCAAAACAAACATTCGATTGCAATGACCGAATTATCTCTATAAACCCCAGTGTTTTTGCATTGTCTCCGGGATCTCGTAAATAACGTTAACATTATTGTGTAAGAAACCAAAAGCGAACTATTTTGCCTTGAAATGTTGTAAGTCTTTAGCTTACCAACTATTTTCGCTTTTAATTATTATGTAGTTGATAATTTCAACAAAAAAAAATAGTTTCACAAATATTCACAGGTAAATTGGCATGGTGTTTTCATTAACTTTTCCAAATTATAGGATGAAAGAGAAAAAATCACCAAACGCATTCAGGAGGCTGGTACTGAAGTTGTAGAAGCAAAGGCTGGCGCGGTAGGATTTCTACATTTTTGTGCTTAATTTTCTCGTTGACTTCTAAGTATGCTGAAAAGTGTAGAGTAGTGAATATAAGGTAGCTTTTTTCAATTAAGTAAGTACGTGCTAATCCGTACTGCTTTCCAAGTGAAGACCGGTGCCAGAAAAGCCTACTTACTCTCCCTCTTCCTTTTTCTTCTGGTGGTCGACTGGATTATGGAGACCTCGATATCTGAGAGGAAACACTTAATGAAATGGACAGCTCGGAATCAATTAGACAATTTGGGCTTCGCATATAACCCGGCTCTTCTATCCCACACTCACGAACAAATACAGGTGAAGACAACTAATGTAACAACAGCCTCTGAATCAGTAGGCCTCAATATACACAAAGGAAAAAGCAAGATCCTCAAATACAACACGGACAACACCAACCCAATCACGCTTGATGGAGAAGCCCTGGAAGAGGTGGAAACATTCACGTATCTGGGTAGCAACATCGATGGACGTGGATGATCTAATGCAGATGTAGGGGCTAGAATTGTCAAAGCAAAGACAGCATTTCTACAGTTGAAGAACATATGGAACTCAAAACAACTGTCACCCAACATCAAAGTGAGAATCTTTAATACGAACGTCAAGACGGTTCTACTGTATGGAGCTGAAGCTTGAATAACTACTATAAAAGTAATCATAAAGGTACAGGTATTTATAAACAATTGTCTACGCAAGATACTGAGTGTCCGTTGGTTGGATATCATCAGCAACAGCCTACTGTGGAGGAGAAGAAATCAACTTGTAACTGAAGAGGAAATTAGGAAAAGACAGTGAAAGTGGATAGGATATATATAGTAAAAAACATCAAACTGGCATCCCGAAGCAAGTGAGAACTTGGAATCCAGAAGGGAAACGGAAAAGTAGAAGATCAAAGAACACACTGCACCGAGAATTTGAAGGAGACATTAAAAGGATGAATAGCAACTGTAAACAACTGGAAATGAGAGCTCAGGACAGAGTTAAATGGACAATACTGATGGGTGGCCTATGCTTCATCACGAGGGGTAATAGACGTATTTAAGTAATCCGTATTGCTGTTGCAACTATAGGGTTCGTAACCATTAACGATCCACTAGCATTTGTAGTGTGTGGTGAAATGTGAGTCAATATCTTAGATGCATTCGGTCGTTTTTACTTTATAAATTTTAGCAGGCTTATTCATTTATGGGTTGATGAACTACCCGCCATTCTACAACCCCACATCACTTTAGATAATTAAATGATAATCGCTTCTGAAAGGTTGCAATCAACGCACATAGTGTGACATTATTCCACATGTGTTCTATCTTCTTCCTTTTAGTATTCTCTCAACGTAATACTTCACTCGACTGGGTTGAAAATCAGAGCACGAATGGGAAGTGAATGAAAATGTTCAAAACTCCCAATATTATGAGATAATATAGTAAAAGCTCTAGTTTATGTAAATAATCTAAAGAATATTCTAGTGTTTTCTTTATCCATTCATTTGCGCTGATCTGTTGAAAACTTGATCTTATATGAAACATGTATTAATCAAGACCTCATCCGGTTAACAATGTAGAGGGTTTATGATTCATCACAGGAATTATGATTCAGGGTCTTCAAGCTAGTGCCTCAAGAGTCTTAGTGAACGCAACCATAGAATTGTGAACACATCTTTAAATCTTTCGTAATTTTCAAGTTTTTGTGCCTTAAAAGTAATTTCAGCTTTTTGGTGGGTCTACGGCGTTGGCAATCATGTTTGTTTCCAATCTTATTACCATATTTTTTGTTAGACATCTGAATAGTTAACAATCGAAATCAACTTATCAAACTAATATGTTGCTCAAATATAAATGATCGTTCGTGAAAACTCAGCAACGTTATATCGTTGGCATTTGTTAGTCTTTGTTGTTATGGATAATTCATTGAAGCGTGATAAGTGATCATGTGACTACGATATTACTCATGTTTTTCATCTTTTTTAGGGGTCTGCTACTTTATCAATGGCTTATGCCGGAGTAAGATTCGCTGTCTCACTCTTAGAAGCCATTAGTGGTCGAGCTGGCGTGGTGGAGTGCGCCTTTGTAGAATCAGACGTTACAGAGTGTGAATTTTTTTCAACTCCTCTTGCACTTGGCGTAAGTTAACGTTCTTATGCTTTTATTGTGATTCTCAGTAATGTATTCGATGATCTAATCAACTTCTTATGCTAGTAATACAACCATTATGTTAAACAAAATTATTGAGTCATCAGGCAATACTTGTACAAGATGATGCATAACTTTCTCTGTACTCTTGTGGTATTGAAGAAAAGTATATTAATAAAACCTAACTAAAACTCACATCCTTTATTTGGTCACAGATTTTAGAAAAAATTCGATGCTTCCAAACATTTTTGATACATATCATTCGCTAAAAAAGGATTAGTGCACAATGTTTGGTATTTTCTTATTGGGACTGATGGTAAAGCACTAAATAACAACGTAGATCAGTTCGACTTCTCTATTTAAAACTAATTCTCATCATCCCATAGTTCGACAATAAAGGAATAATTAGTTTAGAAGGCTGTTTGCATCACTTGTCCTTTGAGTTCCATCAGCCCTAATGTGTTTGGTAGACAGAACCCTGTGATGAATAAAAAAGATTCTTCTGGCTTTTGGTAGTATCTGTTACTTGTAACATTTATTCATCCAGAGGACAAACATAGTTAACAACAGTTCTCTCTATATTAATTTATGGGTGTGAAATATGGTTACTGAAATAGAAGCGTTTTGTGGCTTACATTTATCTCCGAAGCGTTAATAAGATATGCTGTTATTAAATCATAAACAATCAGATTTGTATGCTGTCAGATAGCAGCTTCATTATAAATGCTTAAATATTATGTCATTTAAACTTTGGTTACGTTTGTTTTCGGACTGATGATTATTGTTTCCACAAATTTGTGAATTCCACTTTGTGCTCAACTGTTAAACCATTTTGCTCTAAAATCTCATAATTCGTCTTCTCTATAATTAATTAGCATTATTTTTCTCCTGTTCCAATTCTAGGCTGAAGGTGTTGAAAAGAATATGGGCATTGGAAAATTAAATGAATATGAAATTGAATTACTTAAAAAACTCATCCCAGAGCTAAAAGCAAATATTAAGAAAGGCAAAGAATTTGCAGCTAAATATACACCTAAATAAACTATGATTATGAGTAGTGGTTATATTTCCTCCATCAAGTAATTTTCTTAGTCATTCTTGACACAGCCTACATCTTTCGTCTTTTATTTTTAATAATTTTCTCGTTTTTCTGTAAGATCTGGAACAACACATCCTTAAAAAGATTGTTTACTCCATTGTTTCAAACTTAAATCTTTGACTTTCCACCTCATGCATAGAAATGTTGTTACCTGTACTTTTATCTCTCCTTCATATTCGCTTTAATGTGGTCTTTTGTCTCTTTTTTCCATTTACACTATGTGATTTCCCAACTTTAGTAGCGTTTTACTGCTTCAGTGTGAGTGTTTGTGTTCAAAACAGTACTCAGTTTATAATAACTAGGTTTATTTATAATTGATATACATCTCAAAAAATAATATACGTATTATTTCCCGGTCATATTAGTGTTTTTGTTGTAATCTTCGGAAATTCATGCAGCTCAATAATGTTATTATAAATACAGTTGATGAATTTTGGATATATATATTCTGTCGGAAGTCATATGTTTTGTGCTAAATCTGGAAACGTTACCCAGTTGCTCGAATTGTACTAGGTGAATTGTAATTTGAACCTGATAACTGATGGTTAACAGTCAAGTAGACCACCGATTGTAATACATAGCTAGAATAGCATAGCTAGAACTCATACCTTCGATAAGGATGCTCTCGGTTTTTTTACACTACACACTCCCTTTTTAAACTTATTACTTATTAACGCACGTTCACTTCTGAACAAAATTTCAGCCTTGAGAACCTTAGCCTTTCTAGCCAAGCCTTCTTTTATACTTATCACTGAAACTTGGTGTTATCCAGCAGTGGCCGATTCCGAATTAAATATCCAAAACTATCGACTCTATCGCTGTGACAGAGAAACTAAGCGAGGAGGCGGTTGTCTTATATTTGCTTTGGATACCTTAACAACTAATAAAGTTGAAGATAGTATCTTGAATAGTTTACCAGAATCGATCTGGATATCAATCAATACCCTAAACCATAGTCTACTCCTAGGTTGTATATATAGAGCTCCTGATAGTACTGATAATTTGAATGATTGTATTATCAATGCATTTATACACGCATCTACTCTAAACTTCAGCGCTAAGATTATCACTGGTGATTTCAATTATCCTGGGATTAACTGGAGTACCGGTAGTTGTCAGTCTAGCAATGATGAATTTTTATCAATCCTTAATCTGTACTGCTGGTCACAGTGGGTTCGTACCCCAACAAGGGGTGATAATACACTTGATCTAATATTTAGTAGAGATATCATTCCCCTATCTGTACAAGTATACAACGAGTTTGAAAGCAGTGATCATAGGTTAGTAACTTGTGCTCTCCCCATCTGTCCCTCCTACAACCGACCAATTCAAAGAACCTGCAATTATAGAGACTATAAGCATACAGACTGGGACCTCTTGCGCTCACTGATCAAACTGTCAGACTGGGATGAATTCTTCTCATGTAATAGTCTGACAGATGCCATCAATATATTCTATTTCATTGTTAACTCTTGTCTAGACTCCTGTGCACCAATTAAGACTTACAGGATTAGTAAACATTACGAATTATATATACCAGCTAAATATCGTAATAAACTAAGACGCCTAAAGAAACGTTATTTTAAATCTAACGACTTCACAGCAGTCACACAAATAACAATAATTTTTAACCAAATTAAAGAGAAACATAGGTTAAAAGCCATCAATGAAGAGCTATTAGCACTACGTACTAGCTCAAAAGTGCAAAACCTAATCCACCTTTATAATAAACGTGCTAAATCAACTCAAAATGTTGATATACCATGCATCCTGCATAATAATAGTTTTATATATGACCCAAAAACTATAGCAGACCTTTTCAGTGGTAATTTTGCAAATGACAAAGAATCCATAAATGGCTCTGTTTCTAGAGTTATATGCTTGACTGGTAACTCAATAACATCTATCTCCTTCACATGTCTGAAAATTAGTAAGGTTATAAATAAGCTCAAGGTTTCGAAAGGTCACGGTGCAGACGGGATTTCATCATTTCTCTACAAATATGGTGGTCCAGATATCCAACTTCTTCTCCTTAAACTGTTTACCCTCTCTATGGAATCAGGCTGTTATCCTGACCGTTGGAAAACCGCGTACATCATACCACGTTACAAATCCGGAGATAAGACTGACATGAACAACTATCGGCCAATAAATATTACTCCAGTTATCTCTAGGATTATGGAAAAAATTATTAGTGACGAACTATCCAACTATTTATTGACTGAACAATTTATTGGTGATTCGCAACATGGATTTCTTAAAAATCGATCTTGTATGACATGTCATTTTGACTTCTTTAATTCAGTCTATTCGCTTCGTAGCCAAGGATATCTAGTATTAGTGCTATACCTGGACATTTCTAAGGCCTTCGACATGGTCAACCACCAACTTCTCATAGGTAAACTCGCATCTTATGGGGTCGAAAACCCGTTACTAGCCTGGTTTGATTCCTTCCTCAGCAATCGACATCAAATAGTTAAAATCAACTCTTCATTGTCGAACGCAGTCCCTGTTAGAAGTGGGGTAATTCAGGGTAGTGTCTTAGGTCCTTTGCTCTTTTTAGTTTTCATTAATGATATTTGTGAGTGTTTTAGTGTGGGTAAGTCCTTTTTGTTTGCAGACGATCTTAAGGTGGTGTACTCATTTTCTCCACATGAGCTGAGCAATATTCGAAATTGCATCAGCATGGAGCTTAACAAGGTAGCACAGTGGTGCTCAAAATGGCAGCTGGAGCTCAATACAGCTAAATGTGGTTGGCTATGCTTCGGTGATACATCACTCAACCTTAATCTTACCATAAATGGTGAAATGTTATCTAGGTTACACACAGTAGTAGATCTAGGACTTAGGTACTCCGATGACTTGTCGTTTACTGAACAGGTAATGAAACAAACGTCCAAGTCTCATCGCCTTATAGGTTTCATAACTCGAAACCTTCATAACAGCGAATCCCGTATTCTAATGTACAAAGTCTGTGTTCGACCACTCCTCGAATACTGCGCGTTTCTCCTTAGTAGCACGCGCATAAAGGATAAGTTAAGACTGGAATCAGTACAGAGACGATTTACATTTCGTACTCTTGGACCTGATAGTGTCTTGACATATAATTCGAGGTGTAGTAAACTAGGGCTTGACCCTTTATGGATGAGGAGACTAAAACTTAACCTTATCTTCTTTTTCAAAATACTTAACAAATTCTCCTTCACATCCAGTCAGGCGATTCAATATGCTAAGGCTTCACATTACGACATTCGTAACTCCTTGTCTTTAGCGAAACAAACATATTCTAGGTCTTCTCTCTATATGAATTACTTTACCTGTAAGTTTTTTAGACTATGGAATAATTTACCCCAAACTATCCGTATGTTAGACTCTCTCCCATTGTTTGTTCGCTCAATTAATGCTTTTTGCTCCTCTGAAAATGCATTAAATGCTCTAGCGCCTGCAAGTGTATCTTACTCCACAAGTGAGATTATAGGAACTTTAAATGTTTAACCTCTTACTTGCTATCATTGTTTTGTTGTTCCGTGCTCTTTGCTTTAATCTTACTTTCTCTAGTTGTAGATAATTAATAATAACTCGCTCTGGCACTGGTAATAACCTTACAGAATAATGTTGGTCAATCATCAGGCTATCCACTTAATAAAAAAATGACAAGTTCCCTGGTGTTGCATTGGCTTGCCGTGATATATGCCATATTTAAACTGTTTATCAATTACTAAACCAGCAAACATAAGACCTTCTTATAATTCATGTTTGTTCTCTACATTAAATGTTGATTTTTATAACAATCTGATCATGCCTGTAAACTGGTGTGAATTCTGTAAATATTATTTTCAGAATATATTATTATTATTATTATTATTATGTTATTTTTCGGGTAGTCAGAATGATTGCACCACGGAGAACCAGATAGATCATATTTGAATCAATAAAAAATTCAGTAGTACAATGTAAGACGTGAGAATCAGGAGAGGAGCTGATGTTGCTTCAAATCACCACCTTGTTGTGACCAAGATGAAACTGAAACTAAAGAAACACTGAACAACTGAGGAAACGACATTACAAATATCCTATACAGCCTTCCTTCGACATACTGACAAACTCAACGAATCCTAGATAGTTCTCAATAGCACGTCCCAAACCTTACAAGATCTACTCAAAGACAAAGGAGAAACTTCTATGGATGACAACAGGAAGATCAAAGAAGCACTAACTTCAAAGTGTCAGGTGTTGGGCCACAACAAGCATCATTATAAGGAATGGATCTCTGTCGGAACCCTGAGTAATAATCAAGAAAAGTAGGCAGCATTAAGTGCAGCCGAACAAGAACAGAGAAAGTCAAGGCACGAGCTGAATACATAGAAGCAATCAAGCAAGTGATGAAGAGTATTAGAGTCGACAAGCAGAAATACGTAGAAGAGCTAGCAACGACAGCGGAAAAAGGTGCAAGACAAAAAATATGAAACAGCTGTATGACACAACGAAGAGACTATCAGAGAAATATGGTAAACCGGAGAGACCGGTTAAGGACGAAGAAGGCAAGACAATCACAGAGATTCAAGAACAGAAGAACAGATGGTAAAATACTTCCAGGAACTCTTGAGTTGGCCAGCTCCATTGAATCCACCGGATATTGAAACAGCACACACAGATCTTCCTATAGATGTCATCTCAACAATGATCGAGAAGATCAGAATGGCCATCAGACAAATAAAGTGTGGGAAAGCGGCAGAACCTGACAACATACCAGCTGAATCACTGAGGTCAGACATAGGAGTAGTTTGAAGCATGCTCCACGTTCTATTCAGAAAGATTTGGGGGAAGGACAAGTGCCGACGGACAGGATAGAAGGATGCCTCATCAAGATACCAAAGAAAGGAGATCTGAGCAAATATGAGAATTACAGAGGTATCAATTAGTTGTCAGTACCAGGAAACGTTTTCAACAGAGTGTTGCCGAACTGGATGAAAGATACCGTAGACGCCCAACTAATGTAATAGCGGCTTCTGAATCAGTAGGCCTCAATATACACAAAGGAAAAAGCAAGATCCTCAAATACAACACGGACAACACCAACCCAATCACGCTTGATGGAGAAGCCCTGGAAGAGGTGGAAACATTCACGTATCTGGGTAGCAACATCGATGGACGTGGATGATCTAATGCAGATGTAGGGGCTAGAATTGTCAAAGCAAAGACAGCATTTCTACAGTTGAAGAACATATGGAACTCAAAACAACTGTCACCCAACATCAAAGTGAGAATCTTTAATACGAACGTCAAGACGGTTCTACTGTATGGAGCTGAAGCTTGAATAACTACTATAAAAGTAATCATAAAGGTACAGGTATTTAT